GATATTTGAAGACTCTATGGCCGCTTTCATTTGGCTTGCTGTCTGCACGTCGTGACCTGTATCAACGTATAGCCTTATGGCGTTCTTGAGTGTAGCTGCCTTCCGGTCACAGACGCCTTTGCCACCCTGGGGGTCCGAGAAGTCTATTCTCATTTTCACATTATATGCAGTAGATAATTGCTGGATTGCTAGTAGTGTGGCTGCGCTATGATAGCAACCAGCATTGTCTTGCCTCAGGTAGACATTGTTGATCTCTGGAAAACTGGCCTTTAGTTGTTTCACAACATCATCAAGTATAGCCTGGACAATTATGCTATCTTGAGAGCACTTTTGAAACATGTGTACAAATGTTAGCGTTTGCACTTGACTTTGAAACTTTCTGGTAGCAACTGAAATGTGCCATGAAATTCCCCTTTTGCYGAACCAATCGGATTGGCTTTCCCGATACTTTTTTGGAAGGAATTTCATGGCCCAATCTAAGGTAACAAGGACTGAGTTTGGCTCCAAGTTGTTCAGGACATCAAGTCGAGCCTCATCTTGGTTTATTGAGCGGAGTGTGTGGGCCTTCCATGCTTGTATATTCTTCTTTGACTCGCCAATTATKTACCTCATTTCATCTTTCTCCTYGTCGGACATCTCAATAGATTCTAACACTGTTTCGATCTCTTCAATGACATTTGGGAAAAGACCACATCGATCACAACCAATGTCATGCTGATGATCACAGGTTAACGTAYGTTCTTTGTCGCCCTCGAAGCTAAGTGCGTATGCTCTGCAATGGTCAGGGACCTTTGAGCTTGAAGACACATGAACCTATAGAGAGGTTTATAAACAAAAAAATACTCAGGGTTTTATGTATGTGGAAATTCTGACTTTGGTGAGTTAAAAAAGCATGCGTCAATACTCAAGTCTTGCACTGTTTCTGAGTATAAATAACAATGACGAAGTTTATTTCAGTTTGTCTTCTTCAATAATAAAACTCGAGACATCAAGCAATGAAGACGTACATATTTATATAAAGGTTATAACACTGACCTTATAGTCACCTTTGAGGTAACGTTTCGCGTGTTTTAACTTGCTGGTTTGTTCCTTTTCCCAGGAAAGCCCTTTTTCATRYGTGTCTCCAAGTTTTTCGATAATCAATTCAATGTCATCAAAAGCCTTTGCCCCATCTGCGGAGAAATAGTCTAGGCCTTGCRAGKATTTACGGACTGATGCTGAACATTTTTTGAGGATTCTATGCAGGGTGCTTCGGCTCATCGGTTCAAAATTTGTATCGACGCAATAGCTCTGATACTGTTTGWCTATGTGTTCGGGAATTGATGATCTTATCACGTTTGGAACCCTTATTTCTGTATTGGAGGAAAGTTTAAGGGTTTTTTCTCCAAACGGCAAGTCTTGCACAATTTGTGTGCTCGATATGAATGTTAAGAAATGATCCAGTTTTTCGCGCGAGACACGCATTCTTGCAATTTTTATGGGAGGGACAACAGATCCTCTGCCATGCAGTAACAAGTGATGGCGAGCTATGTTGTAACGATACCTTGATAAATCCGGCATCCACTTCTGGAGTCCTTTAAAAGAAACTTTATCTGCCATGATTGACAGTATTTGCCTACGCATGGTCCAGTTACTCGCGTTATTATAGCACTCAACAAGTGCGTCTAGAAGCGTAGAATCAGTACAGTTTCCTTCGTCTTCACATTTAGCTTTCAAAGTAGAAAGTAGGTTCTCAGAACTTTTAGGTGCGATCTCTTCCAGCGCCGCAGTCACTACTTGATTGGCTTTCCGAGTATAATATCTTTTAGTTCGATCTGAAGCTTTATCCCACGGGATGGTGAGTGAGTTGCGTATTGGACTTATGTCCCTTGAATTTAAAAACTCGTTAAGCTTTTCTCTAGAGTTATTTTCACTGTGACCTTCTAGATCTCCTGATAGATTCGTTGAAATTTCGGTAGGCTGATAGAGACTTGCTTGTGAGTCATCAAGCTCGGCCTTTAAACTTTGCGGAGTATCCGTAKGAATTTGCGATTTCCGCTGGAGATTGAACGTTATTTCATGGTCTGTTTTGTTAAACGTACACTGTAAAGAAGAAAGATAGGTAAGACAGAAATCCTCATGTTTAGGGAGATTTTACATTATATAACAGGGGAGGAGCATGGGGATAGAGTACTGAGTTGTATGCGGTCTCCCTGGGTTTTTTGGGTATAATGATTAATGATAAACGATAAGTAGAATAAGTAGATACAAAGATAACGTTTTTTTTAAAATGAAAATCGAAGAACGATTTGTTCCTTACCAGCCTCAAATCATGAATTTGTTCTGTTACGGTACTGACTTTGCTATCATGCTCTTGAGAGTCGTCTGACTTGGGTGCGGAATCTTGAGATGCACGAGGAACTACGTTTTCACGCTTGAAATCGAAGGGCGTTTCACACTGTTATAGTTCAAAGATTTCCTGGATTTACAGTGGGTTTTCTTGGATTCTCAGCGAGGCAAAGGTTAGAAGATATCTAAATATGTAGTATATTTTCAAATTACAACATTCACCCTTGTAGAAGACATTTTAAAGTTCAAAAGAATGTGTTTACGCTGTGTTGTGCTATAAATAGCTCTWGTTAGTATTTMWTCGATTTCCAGCAGTTTTAAAAAGAGTCTAATTTAACATATTTTGATTTGCCCAAAAATATTTTTACATCGATGGAAATCCTATCTTTCGAAGTACCCTTTAGCGAAGTTTCAAGAGGTTTGAAGGTTTCGCACATGGTGAAAACATTTCTTTACTTAAGCATATTCCGAGCGGATAAAAACTTACCCAATCTTTCGAAAAATRTAATTTCTCCCCAAAATATATTTTTTTGCTCAAAACGACAGAGAGTAATCTTTTGATACTTGTCTACAATACTATGTAAAGAAAACGTCTTTAGAAACGTTYGTTTTGATAAAAACGAGGGTCAAACTTAAGTTAAAATTTGGTTTGCCAAATGGGGATTTTAGGCGTGATTTTTWAAAAAATTGTATCTGTGTACATTTTTAATATTTTTCTAAAAAAACTACACCATTGCTTTAAGTTTATTAGTGGCTATCTATTGTAGAAATTTCAAAGGATTCTAAATTTTGAACCTTGCCACGATATTTAGAATTTGTTTGATTTTCCCTGACATCGACTCTTAATACGCTTTTGATTTTCTTGATTGCATTTGTTTTTAATATGTGATTTCAATGCTGACCTCCMCATACTTGCTATACTGAATGTGCGAGTGCAAATTTTACAGTATGCGCTGTGCTTGTCATTGGGCATTCCTTTTATCCATGATTTAAATTCGTCTTCAATCAGCCAAGCAGAGCTGAAGGTGCATTTTCCTCCTGGCATTTTGTTTAAATGCTTTTGCTGTGGATACCGAGGTCAATCAAAAAAAAATTGATATTACACTACAAAACGAATCAGATGATTTCATTAGATAACTTTTTGGTAACAAGAGAAGCATAATCCTTACTTATTATTATAATAAACCAAAAATGTTGATTAACGCATGCTGGAACGAAATCTTAATTCTTCAAACATGTTTTGCAAAGCCTTCCACTCTCCCGCTGGATTCATCTTCAAGTTAGGTGTTATAGCAAATTCATCCAAAGATAGCATTGGGGAATTTAAAATCCTCAAATCAAATAATAAATCTATCTGTACAGAACCATCTACTCTATATATTATTAGGGTAGGTGACCAAGACCAATAAAAATTAACTGATCGCATTTAAATTGACCACACATTCTTAAATTATAACTTCAATGAATCTCAGGTACTCACAATTAGATAAGACAGCCGTTGTTTGAAAATGGTCAATCTTTTTACAGTGCTCTAAATAAAGCTCTTTCAAGTTTGGAATGTTCTTAAAAAATGAAATATCTACAATATGGGCGTTTAAAGATAGATCTAGAACAACAAGATTAGTACAATTAATTAGATTGTTATAAAAATTGAGACGTTTAAAGTTTAGCACTGTATAGTAGACATGACCGGTCTCTTTAAATGTAAATTCCTTCCATAGAATAGCGGTATGGCATAAGGAATAGATCCTTTTACATGTGCATAACATGCTTTGAATCATACACTTAACTGTAAGTTTTCGAAGAATAGCGATTATAACTTCATTGGGACAATCCAGCAAACCTATTGTAACAAAAAAAATTCTCAAAAAGATAAAATATTCTATTTATATAAATTTCTCAATGCAGGATGTAGCTTAACACAAGATACACATAGCTTAGAGAACAAAAATCAATGAGAAGCTTACAAAAAGCATTAGCAGACCATGCTAACCACACAGGACATGATATCGCGTGGCAAGAGTCTTCAATCCTCGCCCAAGAACCTAGATGGATACAAAGACGCTGGCTGGAAGCTATAAAGATTTCAAAGAACAAAAACTATCCCAAAGCTGCATAAAGATGGTATTCCTTTACGTCCTATAGTTAGTTTTATTGGTTCAACCACATATCACCTATCGAAGTATCTCTGCTACATCTTATCTCCTCTAATAGGAAACACCCAACAGCACATTAAAAACTCCAAAGAATGGACTGAGTTAGCGTCTACCTTGAAGATCAAGCCAGATGAGGAATTAGTATCATTTGATGTTGTTTCGCTATTTACATCCATCCCCACTAAAGTAGCTGTTGATGCCGCTCTATGCCGACTTATAGCTGATCAAACTCTAGCTGAACGGACGCAGTTGAGACCTACAGAAATATCATCACTCCTATCGTTCTGCTTGGGTGCAACTGACTTGCAATTCAAGGGACAATACTACAGACAGATACATGGAACTGCAATGGGCTCCCCAGTTTCAGTGGTGGTAGCTGACTTAGTCATGGAAGTATTAGAAAACAAGGCACTTACAACGTTCCTCACACCACCTAGGATTTTCAAAAGGTACGTGGATGACACCATTTGCGTCATTCTTAAGGAAGCCATTGATTCTTTCAAACAACACCTGGACAACCAGATGAAGCCTTACATTAAGTTTACTGTTGAGAAATACTCTCCTAAAGGTTTACCATTCCTTGACACCAACAACGTAATTTTAGATGACGGAAGTATAAGCGTTACAGTCTACCGTAAGAAGACTCATACGGATAGATATTTAAATTTTGCTAGTCACCATGCTCCGCAACACAAGATCTCTGTAGTCAGAACCTTGTATTCTCGAGCTGAAACATTACCAAGCCACATTGATAATGTAATAATGGAGAAGAAACATCTTAACCAGGTTTTGAAATCGAATGGATACCCTAGCAAATTTATATATCGTCACAACAAAGGGAGTAGTAAAGAACATGATGAAAATCCTGAACCACCCAAAGGATATGCAGTACTACCCTATGTAAAAGGCGCCACTGAAAAGATCCAGCGAGTTTTACATGGCTTTAAAATCAAATCT